CCTTGTTTGCCTTATTTTTATCTATCCTGGCAAATCAGATCAGGGCCATCTTTGTAATATTGCTCTCCCAGGGGAATTACACCACCGCATTAGAGTGAAGAGGTCGTCATGCGAGTGTTTAGTACACTTTGATCTCTGTCTCTTGGATCTGAAAGTTTCATTACCTTGAAAGATGCCACGTGAGCTCTGAGAGTGGATCTGGAGCACCAGGGTGGGGCATTTAGTTTTGCTTATCCAGAAGGGAGGGCTCTGCAATGCATGCTCCTAGAGGTACTTCTTCAGCTGCAAGAGCACTGTGAGCATCAGTAGTATCACCAGTGAAATGGGCCCAAACCTGATATAAGTGTGAAAAGCACGGCATGTAGGCGTAAGAATTTCAACACAGGCTAGCATCAGATTCTGAGCTCACTCTAGCTAGACCTTGGCAGGTGGGAAACACAAAGCCCCGGAGTCCCAGGACACCTCTGCTCAAGCCTCTGTACCTCCTCTGCCACTCAGCAAGAAGACATTTGACTGTCACCCAGACCTACATTCAAAGCTGGGTCTGCATGTGCCAGCTGTGAGTGTGCTGGCCTCTCTGTGAGTGTGAGTGTGTGTGTGTGTGTGTGTGTGTGTGTGTGTGTGTGTGTGCAAGCTAGGTGCAAACTAACCTCAGTGTCTCCATTTCTCAGTGAATAAATCCCTTTCTGGCTTGCTCACTCCTCCCACCCCATATTTATTGCTGGCACCAGCATGGAAATCTGGGAGTCTCAGTCCAGAGGACCTTGAGTCCCAAGGAAGGACACATCTGTTTGGGGGCTGGAAGGCAGCTCTCTGCTGGTCCTCAGGAAGGAACAGGCTGCAGATCCAATGGCAGGTGAATCACCTGGTCCCGATGGAGGGGAAAACTCTGGACCGGTCCGGGGTATGGGAGCACCAGCCCTGCCTCTTCTGCTACCTTGGACAAATCACTTAGCTTCTCTGAATCTCAGCTCCCTCACTAGTGAAATGGACCATGAGAAGGCGAAACAAGCTAATTTCTGTAGAGCTGCAGCCCGTGCACACACAGAGATTGAAGGCAGGAGGAAGACCTCAGGTGTCCCTGCAGAGCCTCAGTCTGACGGGCAGAGGCTGGGTGGAGGGGCAGAGGCAGAGTTCAGGCTTGAAGATGTCACATAGCAGGTGGTGATAGCCAGCGTCTCCCTCCCACTGCCCCAGGTGCTCACAGCCCTCTTCCACATGAAGGGGCCGCTAGGGCAGAGAGCTCGGAGCCATTGACCCTCCCTGTGAGCACATTAGGAAGGCACTGCCATTCCCCCTTCACGCTGAGGCCCAGGAGGCTTTGCGGCTGTGTCCTCTCCACCCCACCCGGGCTTCTCTCCACAGCCAGCCTCTTCTTTCTCTTCTCTGGTTTCTGCTGTCTCCCTCTGTCCTCCTCTCTCTCGCTCCACTTTGACACCCCGAGTTCTGACTCAGTGTGGCTGATGACCTGTCCACCACTCAGATCTCTCTGTCCTGTCTGTCACAGGCTGCCTCTGTCACCTACTCCATATCTCTCTCTGACTCTATGGGTCTCTTTGTCTTTCTACCTCTGTCTCTGCCTGGCTTTCTCGCTATCTCTCTGCCTCTGTAATCTCTCTGTCTCTGTCTCTGTCTCTGTCTCTGTCTCTCTCTCTCTCTCACACACACACACACACACACACACACACACACACACACACACCACCTCCAAAGTTAGGTGGCATCTGCCCAGTTACTTCTTGTCCCCTGGGTGCCTGGCCCTTCTCGGGGCAGCAGCACTTATTGGTGGCCAGGTCTGGTGTCTACCTCACTGTGGCCCAGGAACCGGAGCCCTTGCATGTGGGGATGACAGTGGAGAGCCAAGCTCTGCAGGAGCAGCTCAGACCCACCCTGACAACGGGAGGGAGACTACAATCTGCCTCGTCATCTTCCTAGGTTCTCCCACTGGCTGGCACAGCCTTCTCCTCCCCTGTCCTCACCAAACAGTTGCTTGGTCTCACCTTTGGGAAGTCTGTGGGGCAGGGCCGATTGCTGCAGACCTGCCTCCTTCTCCATGGTGACCCGAAGAGAGGAGCCCAGATCACAGGCCTCTACACCCAGGGTTCTCTGACAGTGGACGTGTTCCTTCACTGTGACCTTCAGGTGAAACAAACATGTGTATCACATCTCATTCTTCAGACAGAAGAAATTAAATGAAGGAAAAGTTGGCTCAAAGTCACTGGAGTTGCCTCATCTGTTACTTGGGTCACAGAAGTGCCCATCCAAGGGGCTGTCAGGATGCAAGAAGACAATGACAGAAAAGTGCTGAGCTTGGTACTTAATAAATGCTCACTGTTGCTGTAAAGGAGCCCATAGCTGTAGCCTTGCCTGGCACTTCTCTTCTGCAAAGTTCTTAACGACACTCGGAACAGATGGTCTTGCCCCAGTTGGCAGATAGAATCCACAGCTAGGGTAGAGCAGACACCTGCCCAAGGCCAGTACAAGTTCATGGCAGGAGACGGAGTCCAGCCCCAGGCTGACTCAGCCCCTCTCCTGCTGTCCCTGATCATGCTGAGAAATGCTAGCATATTCTTCTCAAGTAGCATCTGATGTAGGTCCCCCAAAGTTGCACAGAGCAGGGCAACACGGAGCAGGGGGGAGCCTGGGCCCCACCTCAGGAGACCAGGAGCTAGGCTCAGATGGACTGAAGCTCTCAGGTCTCGTAGTTGAGATCCCTGTCTGCACAATCCCAGAGGAGGGACTTCCAGGGCAGGTTGGGTCAGGGTCACCTTGAGCTCTAGCGAGGCTCTCAACGTGTGGTGAACCCAGGCCAGGGAGACACTCATGGGATTGCCTGGGCGTAGGTAACAGTGATAGCACAGGCCGCAGCTCTGGTGGAGCCTCATCCCATGCTGCAGGGCACACACTCAGTGCTTCCTATGACACACCATTGAGATTGATCCTGCCTTTTCATTCATATACCAGCTAAGGAAGCTGAGTCCTGCCCATGGTCTTAGACACAGGGCAGGGAAGCCGTGCAGCTGACACTGGAACAGGGGGTTCATTGCCTTGGAGGGGGGCACTCCAAGACTAACCTTTGAGGGGAGTGCTGCTTATATAGTAGCTGCTGGCCTGTGACTATTCCAAGCATAGGCCTGTGATTGGTTCAAATTCAGGCCTGTGATTGGTCCAGGGCTCCACGACAGCCACAGCTATCATGGCTACAATTCATTGAGGTGGCAGGAAGATGGAGCTGCTTGACAGCTGTCACGTCTCTGAGAAACACAAGTGAGCTGACACCAGGGGATCTTCCGGAGGGCTAGCCGTGTGCATTAGAGCTTGCCCAGGATTGGAGAGGTGGAGGAGGTTAACAGTCCTCGGTCCCTACTCTCTTGAGCTTAGCCATGTTAAGGTCCTCTCCTTCTTCAAAGAGGTGGCAGCAGTGGCTGAAGTGGCAGCAGCAGGGAAGGGACACTGAGGCTGACAGTCGAGCCACACTCCTGTCTGAGCACCCTGGAGAGAGGCTTCTAAACAACCAGGGGGGAAACTGAGGCAAGTGAGTTGTTCCAGTTCATTGAGGGCAGGAGTAAGAGGGGCTTGGAAGAGAGGGAAGAGGAAGGGTGTGACAGCCATTGGCCAAAACACTCGCCCTTCCGGTCCTCAGGGGAAAAGGAGTCCAGTCAGGTACTTCTCAGTCTCCTCAGTACCACGGGCACCGGGATCTCATGGAACAGAGCTTGCGCACCACTTCTGTGATTCACAAGCTGCGGATCCTTAAACAAGTTATTTGCCCCCGAGTGCCCATATTTCCTCACCTGAGAGGTAGAATGGCGGACACCTATTTTAGAATTGCCTTAATCATTAAATGAAATAAAAGCAAAGGTATTATAAAATGTACACTTTATGACAGGCACTACCAGAACACTTTAAACTGAATTAAGGAGTTCTGACACTTAGATCTCAGGTTGACGCTGGCCAGCCCTGTGCTCTGAAAAACCACCCAAGTCAGTGTGGAGCGTAGTCAGCCCAGGACTCCACAGCCACGGATTCAAACAATTGTGGATTGAAAAGATTTGAAAGGAGGAAGAAAAGTGGTTATCTGCACTGAACATGTACAGTTTTCCCCTAAAGAATGCAGTATAAGAACTGTTTACGTAGATTCACACTGAACTAGGTATAGTAAAAGAAAGGTGAGTTAAAGGTCATGGGAAGATGTGCGTAGGTTATATTTAAATTGTGCCATTTTAAACAAGGCACTTGGGAATCTGTGGATTTTGTGTTGCAGTGCATTCTGGAACCAATGCCCACAGATCCTGAGGGACGACCATATTTAGAGCAAAGTCTGAACTATCCTAACACTAGCTTTTCTGCAGTGGTGTCTGCATTCTGGCTTTTGTCAGAATCCCCAGGAGGGGAGTGTGTGTTTGACTTACAGATTTCCCAGCATTATCCAGTGCCCACTGGATGAAAATCACTGAGCTTGGGGACAAACATTTTGTATACATACAGTCACACTCAACTAGATACTTCTTAAGCAGAGGCTAAGTGTATAATAAAATGTCACAAATTTCAAGGTGAAGTGGATAGAGTCTGGAATCCTAGAACAGGTTCTGCCATGAACAAGCCACAGCACCATGAACAAATCACCAAATTGGCTCGCTCAATTCTCCTGGATCCTGCTGCTGGCCCCAGAGGACACACAAGAGCATGAAGCAGATGCAAGTCAGGGGTACTGCCTGGTGACAGTGCAGGCATCCTGACCCACACTGACCCAAGATTAGATTCTGACTCTGCTGTTGATTCATATTAATTTTCTTACTGTTTTTTGCACTGTATTTTAGAGTTATATTTCATGGCTGCCTTGGTGATTGCAAAGAATACATTTGCAAAAACAATCTAGTTTATATTAATACTAATTTAGTTTCAGTAACATAAAAAACTTTGCTCCAGTAAAGTTCTGTTACACCCCCATTCGTTTGTGTTATTATTGCCACACAAATTACCTTCACACAATAAAAGTCTGTCAATGCATATCTATAATTACTGCTTTGAACAGTGATCTTTCAAATCAGAAGTAAAAGAAAGGAATTACAAAACATGCATTTAAACTGTCTTTCTGTTTACCTGTGTAGATAACTTGCCCAGTGCTAAGCAGCTGTGGATTTCTTCATGTAGATGCAAATTACTAACCACAGTCTGTTGGTGTCAGTCTGAAGCACTGTCTGGTATTTCTTGTGGGTTGTGGAGTAGCTCTGATAGCTGCCAATCACCCGAGGGTTCCTTTTTCTTTTATTAAGATAGAAATCATGACTTGACAAGTGCAGCACTACTAATGGCTGAGGGTTTGCATGCCAATGATCCTTGGCTCTCAGTGTTATTGTTCTGGGCCCTAACATCACCAACGGGCACCAAGTTAATGCTAAGAGCTGTCAGTCAGTATTTCTGATTGCTTGTCGTTGCTTGCTGCTGATGACTGCCACCAGTTGGCGCCAGTGAGTGCTGGATACAATCAGTCTGCACTGCTCTGTTATTGATCTTTTTTGGCAGCTGGTCTCTCAAGCTCCTCAAGGATGACAGACAGCCCCTTGCTCTTATAGCTGTTTTTAAAGTAACAGCTGTATCCATACTACTTGGGAGAAGAGTCACAAATAGATTTATAGTACCTCTCAAGCTCATATTACCTAAGAAATAAACTGTGAGTAGATTCATAGAAATACTATAGCAAGGCCTTCTATAAACAAGACCTGTGCAGCAGAAGTAGAACAGAGGGGTCAGCGCACTACAGAGAGCCAAAGAGCAAGCCAAAGAGTGTAAGAAGAGTGTAATCACAGCAGGCCTGTGATTCATCCAGATTCCTCCTAACTGGTCCTAAGTGGGATGAACTGAAGCCTTCAGAGCTTAACATACTGATTGGTCCAAATTCAATTCTACTCCTTGGTTCAAATTCAAGTCTGCTGTGGTCAGGATAGGCACCTCCGGAAGTGAGTGCTGTGTGTCTAGGAAAGCGCCTGATGTCCTGGGGCCGGTTCAGAGAAGCATGAGATGTTGCTATTGGATTGTCAGCTTTCAAGTCGCTGTGAAGATGATGATGCCAAAGTTGTTAATATCTGGGAGGGTTGGCTGTATCAATCACAGCTTACTGGAATTTGGGGATGATGAGCCTAGGTCCCTTCTTGAGCTTTGCCACTGTAGGGGCAGTTTACAGAGAAGTGGAAGCATCCATAGAGCCAGGAATCAGGGAGGGAGCAGCACAGCTGACAGCTGAGCCGCCCTAACCTTAGGATATCTGGCATTAACTGGCAGGAAGATGCTGAGGCCCGTTGTCCAGTCCATTCTCAGGGGACTTAGGAGGAGTGAAAGGCAGTGGGAAAGGACATGACAGTGTCAGCCAAGCCACCCTCTGAAGCCACCACAGAAGACAAACAGGGAGAGTCAGGTACTTCCAGTCCATCTCACTCTTAGTTTCTTCCTATGTGTGGATATAGTCATTTCTCCTTCAGGTCTGGAGGATGATTTTCCTGGATGTAACATTCTTCACTGATTTGGTTTTCAATGGCCACGAAACGTCATCCCACTGTTTTTTGGTCTCCATCGTTTCTGGTGAGAAGTTAGCTGTTAATCAGAGCAAGCATTCCTTATATGTCCACAGTCCCTGGTGCTTTTGACACAAGTTTTGTGGAAGACACAGACCAGAGGAGGGAGATGGCTTCAGGGTTAGATGCTCATAAGAAGCACGTAATCTAGACCCCTCACATGCACAGTTCGCAGTAGGATTCACACTTGTATAAGAATCAAATGCTGCCACTGACCTGACAGGAGGCGGAGCTCGATCAGCAATACTGGTGATGAGGAGTGGCTGTAAATACACTTGGGACTGCCGCTCACCTTTTGCTGTGTGACCCCCATCATATGTGATTGGCCATTTTTTTTATTGCTGCTTTCAAAGTATCCTGTCTGGGCTGGGGATTTAGCTCAGTGGTACAGCACCTGCCTGGCAAGCATACGGTCCTGAGTTTGATTCCTGGTATAAAAAAGTACTCTGTCAGTCATGGAATTTTCACAGTGTAACTATTATGTGTCTAGTGTGCATCTCTTTGAGTTTATCCTACTTTTAAGTTTATGGTGCAATTTGGATATATATATATATATATATATATATATATATATATTATTTTTCTTTAAGTTTGGGGATATTTTTCAAAGCATATTTCTTCACATATTCTTTCTGCTCTAGTCACTGCTTTCAGATCTTTGAGTACATATCTAGAAGTGGAAATGCTAGATTATATTCAATGTTTAATTTCTTAAGGAATCACAGTACTGCTTTTTACAACACCTTCATAATTTTTTGTTCTACCTGCAGCGCTCAAGATTTCCTACTTTTCCAGTTCCTCATCAATGCTTGTTTTCTCTCTCTGTGTGTGTGTGTGTGTGTGTGTGTGTGTATGTGTGTGTGTGTGTTTATGACCGCTTCCTAATAGGTATAAAGTGATTTTGACTTGCATTCTCCTGGTTGTGATATTAATATCTTATGCTTATGCTTATTAGCTATATTTATATATCTCCTTGAGAGAGATACCTATTGAAACCTCTTTGTTTTTATTTTGTTATAATTGTGGAGCCTAAGAGTTCTTTATATAATTTGGATATTAACTCCTCATCAGATATTGATTTGAAAATATTTTCTTTCAATTTTGGGTGCCTCTTAACTCTATTGATGGTGCTTTTGATACGCATGGTTTTTTTTTTAAATGAAAGAGTGAGGCTCAATTTATTGTTTTCATGTACTTTTACTATCTTCTTCTAAGAAATCATGAAAAATACAGTGTTATGAAACTTTTCCCCTATTTTTTTCAAGAGATTTTTGGCTTTAGCCTTTGCATTCAGATCTTTGACTCATTTTTGTATTAATTTTGTATATGGTAGGAGTTCAGCTTCATGGTTTTGCATGTGCTACCTAGCTTTACCAGAAGCAGTTGTTGAAAACGTTGTTCTCTTGTTGAATGATCTTCACACTACTGTTCAAGTCATGTAAGGAATATTTGAAGTTGACTTCTGAGCTCTCCAGGCTGTTTCATTGGTGGATACGTCTGTCTTTTGACAGCACCACATTGCCTTTATTACTAGAGCTATGTAATACATTTTGAAATCAGGGAGTTTAAGATCTACAAATTTGTTCTTTGTTTTCAAAATTGTTTTGACTATTTGGAGACCTCTGAGATTTCATCTAAAGTTTAGGATGGGTTTTTCCATTTTTGCAAAAATATCAAGTTGAATAGCACTGACTTCTTAACAATGTTAGTTTTTCAATCTGTAAACATGAAGCATCTTTCTCATAATTTGAATCATCTTTAATTTCTTTCAGCAACGTTTTAAAGTTTCCACTGTATGTGTCTTTGGCATTCTTAGTTATGTTAGTTCCTGAGTATTTTATTCTTTTTGGTACTATTGTAAATGAATTGTTTTCTTAATTTCCTTCTTAGGTTGTTCATTGCTAGTGTGTAGAAATGCAAGTGATTTTGTGCTTCGATGAGTTTTTAAATTAGTTCTACCAGATGTCTGTGTGTATTTGCACATGTGTGCATGCATTTGCACATGCATGTGATTGTTAAGGATTTTCAACACATAATATTATGTGCTTTCTGAACAGTGAAACTTTTAAAAACTGATTTGGATACTTTGCATTTTTTTCCCTTGGTTACTTGATCCAACTAGGGCTTTCAGTACTGTATTGAACAGGAAAAGCAGATATCTTTTCCTTTTTCCTGAGCTTAGAGGAAAAAATTTTAAAATTTTACCACTGAGCATGATGCTAGTCATGAATTTGATATTTTTTAAAAGAAATACCTCAAGTCTCTCTACTTTTGAGTTTCCTAGGAAACCCTATGGTTAGTCTTTCTAGAGTTAAATGTCTTTACTGGTGTCCCAGCCTTTCGTAGTGAGCCAGTTCATTTGATCTCTCCTGGTGATGTAATCTATTCTAATCCTTGCAATTTCCATGGTGCTAACAATTATGGAATAAGGTCTGAAGCACAGAAATTTTACAACCTGTGTGTGAGATTACACACCATAACAGAGTTTATTATTTAGATCTTTGATCCAATTTGACTTTAGTTTAGTGCATGGTGATAGACATGGATCTAGCTTCAGTCTTTGGCGTGTGGAAAGCCAATTTTTCCAGCACCATTTATTAAAGAGGCTATCTCTCTTCCAGTAAACATGTTTAGCTCCTTTGTCAAATATAAAGTAACTGAGTATTTTTGTAGTTGTGTTTGTATCTCCTAATCTGTTCCATTTATCCTCAGGTTTATTTCTTTGCCAGTACCATGTTGATTTTATTACTGTAGCTTTGCAGTATAATTTCAAGTCAGGGACTGAGATGCCACTTGCCTTGCGTTTGCTGCCCAGAATGTCCTTTGATATTCTAGGTTTCTTCTGTTTCCAAATGAATTTTTAAGTGTGTTTTCCCTAGATCTGTGAGGTATGTTAATGGTATTTTGACTGGGATTGCAATAAATCTGTATAATAGTTTTGAGAGTATGACCATTGTCATAATGTTGGTTCTTGCTAACCAAGAGCAAGGGATATTTTTCCATTTTCTAATATCCTCTTCAATCTCCTTTTCTAGAGTAGTATAACATTCAGCATATAGGTCTTTTATATTCTTTGTTAATATCAATAATACTAATAATAAACTGGAAGAGTAATAAGATCCAGAATGTACAATAGATATTGTAATAATGAAAGGGAAAGAAAGTGCTCAAAAGGACAGAACTTGTAGGTGCACACATATAACTGTATATAGGTTTAAGTGTGCAAGGTAGATAACCATACCACTAATGTTAGTTCATCAAAAAGAATAGTTTGTGCTGTTATTGTTTGTCTGTTCATTTCTTATGCTTTGATTTTATAACTTGAGCAACGACTTCTGAGATAACAACGTGTAATATATTAACTAGTGTTGATTTCTCACTGTTATTTTTTGAAATTCTGTATTATTTTCACCCTTTTTTTCTGTTTTGCTTTTTTAAAAATGTGAAACCCCCCCAGAGTTCATTAAATTTATTTTGCAGTCACTAAAGTTTCTTTGTTCTTCCACCCTGCAGCTCCAGAGGGCAAAACAAAGGCCAGCTAGTAGAATCCAGCAGGAGGCAACTAAAGAGTCAGAGGGACGCTGCATGTCTGAGTGTCGAGCCAGCTGGTACCAAGTGAACCATCCCAGGAGGCCAGGTGAGGTCCCTGCCGGGAGTGTTAAGGGCAAGGATTTGGGGTCAGCCCCGGGTTACTTTCATTTCCTGACTCCCCAGGGACTCTAGCTAATAAGTTAACTTTTGGAGACCTCAATTTCTTCCTCACTGAGCACAGGATGATGCATGGTACATGGACACATTATCATTTCATTATTTAGGGTTGGGTGAGGTTCCCTTGCTTCTTGTTTCCACAGAGGGATTGCCCAGGTACCTGCCCTTCACCCCTCTTCCCCCCCACAGAGGTGCAGTGTGCTCCTGCCCCTTCCCCTGGCCTCAGACCCTCCCACCGGGGACTCTGGAAATGAGATGACTCAGTATTCCTTCAAGAGTGAGCATCCCCTGTCTAATCTTAGGGTTTGCAGGGGTCCATGGCTGCAAGGATGAGCCCATCTTCCAGAAACAGCCTCACCAGCGATGAAGGGAGGTACACTTCCTGCTTTGGTTCGCACCCAACCACGCCTCCATCTGATCTGCATCTTAATTCTGTGAGAGGGGCCACGCAGGATGAGGATGCCCTGTTGCCAGAGGAGGAAACAGAGGCTTGAGGAGGGGAAACGACTTGCCTGGCAGCACCAGGAGTTGGGGGTTGCTGGAGGGGGCAGGACAAGAGGCCTGACCGTTGGAAAGAAGCAGGTGTACAGGCTCAGGAGTGAGTCAGCCAGGGCTTCCTGAAAGAGCCAGGCAAGAGGCTGGGAAAGTGAGCTGCCCTGATGAAGGCTGTTTAGAAAAGAGCTCAGACTCGAGACACACATGAGCTCCCCAGAGGGACTGAGAACATGTTCAAGTTGCTTTCTGTTCGGGAAATGCAGAAGGCCCAAGACCAGGGTGGGGCCTCAGGGTTAAGACCAGGGCTTGAGCTAGGACCCTTGAGACCCCTGAGGGGCTCAACCAGCTTGCATCATTTTCTCTCAACAAAGGAAGTCAGGATGACACCCACATGGGCCCTCCTGTGCGAGGCGCCTTTGGAGCAGCTCTGCCTATGTTAACTACCTTAGTACTCAGCAGCTCTGGGAAGGGGCTCTTACACCCCATCTTATAGGTGACACTGACTGGCAGAGGGGTTGAGTCTTATACCCCTGAATGGTGAAGCCAGGATGGGTGTGGCCCCAGTATCACAGTGCATATAGTGACCACTCTCCTTGCTAGCCTTGTGTCCCAGGGCCCTGGAAAACTCATGCAGTGACAGCAAGAAATGGTCCCCTATAGTCAGACAGGGTCTCCAAGACTGGACTGCAGGCTGGGCTACACCTCACCTCACAAGTCAGGGCAGCACAGCTGTTTGGGGATTGAGAATATAGAGATAGGCTCAAGCCCTGGTTTAACCCTACATGGCTGTGTGACCTTGGGTGAGTCACTGAACCTCTCTAGGTAGGCATCCTTACCTCTTGGCACCTGCTTTCTGCCCAGAGCCATGGGCCATGGACACGTTCACACAGGGAATATATTTTACAAAACTTAGCTCAGTGATTGTTGTGAACCTAGGAGTGTCATTGTCACTGTGTGAGCCTATTCCTTCTCTCCATGGGCTCAGCAAGGAGCTCCTTTTCTCTCCCCTGCAACCATTTTCCAGGAATCAAATTCCCCAACAGGTGAATAAGCAAAAGCTGAGAGTGACTTGTCTTTATCAATATCCCACCCACTGTTTGCAGCTCTATCTCCACAGCCCTGGGGAATCAGAGAGGAACTCCCTGCCTGTCTCCAAAGCTCCACGGCTCATTAGGCTCCAGGATTACCAGGAATCTGGAATACCTGACCAGGGTCTACTGTAAGGCTTCATGCAGCCCAGTTTTACTGGGCAGGTGGGGAAACTGAGTCCCGAGGAAGGGAGCAGCAGAGTGGGCATATCAATAATTGTGCCAGAATTTGCATGTACAGGTGGTGATGAGAAGGGAAACAGCACGACTGATTGCAGCATGAAGGGAGGCAGACTCCAGGAGCAGCTCTGGCTTCAGGAATGGCTGCAGCCGCACCAGCCTTCACATCCTCCCCACATCCTCCCCACAGTTCTAGGGGAAAGATCAAGTCAGTTTCTTTGTTCTTCCATTTCCAGCAAGTTTTAGTGTAAATCATTGACTCTTACAGGTCACAGGGCCTCCCCTGAACCAAGAGAAGGTAGGGGAGCCACCCCTGAGTCTACACATCTACCACTTGCCAGAGGCACTGGGGGACACTGTCTAACCCAGGCTTCTTGGCTCTATCTCTGAGATTCTAATTAGATCTTTGCTGGAGATTGGGAACCCCAGGGATTCTGCTGGCTTCCTGTCCTTGCTGACTGTCGGATGGGCTCTACACCACAATGGTGTGTGAGGACAGGTAGGTGTCATTTCAGTGTCTTGCTCTATGACCTGAACCAATGCCTGTCCCTCTCTGGGCTCCAGGCCCCTCCCACGTATAATCATCATGGTTGGAAACTCTTTCCAGTGCTGCCATTTTGGTTCCCGAATCTGCATTTATGAAGTATTTGGTGGATGGAGAAATGAGGCTCAAAGCAAGCAGCAGAGGTGGGACTCCAGCCAGGCACACACAAGAATGTTGGAGCCAAGCCTGGACCAATGGTCACACGAGCTTCCTGGAGGCTAGGTGACCAAAAACCTTGAGAAGAGGGAAGGAGCTGGAACCTGGAAAGAGATGTGGGGTGTGGTAATGAGCTCATAGCAGCAGGTGGGACAGGTTCCTCAGTCCTTGGGGCTGAGAGGTAGGGATGCAATCTGAGTGCAGAAGGGGCCCTGAAGGGTCTACTCATGATTAGATATCTCAGTAGCCATCACTCTGTCAGTGGACTGAGAATGAATGGAGTTGGGAGACCAGCTAGGAGTTTCCCAGGTAAGGGGTTTGGGGCTCTAGTTAGTGAAGGGATGGAGAGAGTGGGGAGACTCAGGTTAAATTCTGAGGTTGGTTAAAACCAATGAATGAATGGCCCCCTAGGTGAGGGGCTGGTGGGGATACTGTGGAGACAGAGCAGAGATCTGCTTCTCAGACCCTTTCACACCCCTGACTTGGCAGCTGGGCTCTGGGATGAGCAGCTGTTCCAGCATCATGGCTGAGGAACTCTGGTCCCAAACTGGGTAATCCTCACATTGTTTCTCCTCTTGTCCTGGTAGGGCCAAGAGCAGAGGGTCACAGGAAAATTCAGACTGGAGAAACAAGGGGTCTTCTTTTGCATCATTCTGGGTAGGATCAGTGATCTTGAGCAAGATGCTGCCTACCCTGAGCCTCAATTTCCAACATGCAGAATGGGGAGGCCCTCTCCATTTACTGTTACCCATAAAACAAGTTTTCTCACCAAGAATCCACCACAAGAGCAAGGCTAGGGGAGGGCAAAGGGGTTTGGGGAAGGGGTTACCACTCAAGAAGTATCAAATGGGGTCTTCCAAGAGGGCCCTCAAGATCAAATGTTCCCTCCCGCATGGCAGCCTCTGTGAAGACTGGAGGGGTAACTGCTCAGAAAAATCTCCTGAGAACTCTCCCCTCTTACCCTCCTTGGAATGAATCCAATTTGATAAAGGGACATTTAAATTAGAAATATAACCATCATTTCTGATGATAAAGGGGTCGAATACTAACATGAAAGTGTTAAACACTGCATTAGGGAGGCTGATAGGATGAGATGGGCACCATAGCCTGGCCTCTGAACTGAGCTGTTTCATAGGCTCAAGAAATTAAGCAAATTTTTGTTTCCGTAATTTCAGGAGCACAAACCAGAGTGACAAGCATAACTCGAGGGGACAGCAGTGCACTGAAGCCTGCTTATTCCAGCATGCACTGAAGCTAAAGGTTCAGAAATTTTGTTAACCAGTTGTTTATGGCAGATGTTATTAAATATTATCATGTTAACTTGTGACGAAATGAACCACATTAAAAACAAAGGGAATAAATACTCAGAACTCAATCAGCTCCTAATTACCTCCTCGAATCATGCTGCTGTGCTTTCTTTTGAGGCTGTTTGCATCGTTAGCACCTGCATGATGGGAGTACTCTACAGTGGCATGTGACTCAGGTCTCTTCCGAACATTCTGTCCAGTGATATCTCATGGGTAGCTTGAAACTGACCACAGCAAAAGTGTTTGCACCATGGACATTGGCAAGCACCACTAATTAGGGCTTTTCCTTCTGGAGAGCCAGTTGTTGGATGTTTGTCAGGAGAAGCACAAAGGCAAGAAAAGAGGAAAAGGGATTGATTCCAGCGAGGAGGCAGAGGCTGCAGTAGGAGTTACCCAGACCAGCCCCGAGCCACACAGTGCAACAGGCTTTGTGGGCAGAGTGGCCCACGATGATGCTCCCAGGGCCCTGGCCAGCAAGCCTCCTGAGAAGACCCCAGGCAAGCCGAGCCTGCTTCCTGTTCCCCATGACCTGTCCTCTCACCACCCATGGGTCATGCCATGCCCTGTTACCTGAGAGGTCACTACACTGTCCTCATGAGCTGTCTGAGTTTTAGGATAGCCAGGATGACTGCTCACTTGCCCCCTTACCTGAGGTGGAAAATACTAGTAACTAGTCCTCTCTGGGCACTCACCTGGGGATCTGCCTGCTGCACCCAACCTTCACTAGTCAAGGTCAAAAGCAGGAAGTGCAGTCACTGCACTCAGTCTGCAGATGAGACAAAAGGAGCTCAGAGAGAGGAATGAACAGCTAGGAAGAGGGGACCGCAGCTGCAAGCCCCAGCTGCCACCTCAGGTACAACCCTGCTCCTCTTGGGGCATGGATCTGCCATCCATGCTCCTGTCCTTACACAGAAGCACACACTTGAATGTCACTCGCCCCCATGCACACACTCAGCCCACCTCAGGACCCCTCCCAACAGATATCCATCTCCCCTCACCCCGTCCTTCCTGCACAGCCTCCTCAGAACTCTCATCTCCAGGTGCCAGGACACCCACTGTCACACTTAAAGGTGAGGGAAGAAATGGGGAGACTAGAGCGGAATCTTATTTAATTATCTGTGGCAGGAACCAATTTTTCAGTGATAATTATAATAATTAAAAATCCTCTTATCAGTGGTGGGGAGGTTGGCGCTGAAAGGAGAGGGGAAGAGGGGGCGCAATGAATGGTGGGAGAACAAGACGTGCTGCAGTGGGGGGGAGACCCCACAGGAAGTCCTGCAGCTGGAAGTGGTGGGATGAAGAGGAAGCTTGGAGGAGGAGAGCTGAAGGGTTCCCTTTGGGGTAGCTGCACAAACAGGCCATCTTCATCTCCCCAGCCCTTGGGCCTTTGACTGGCCTGAGGGAAAGGAGCCAGCCAGTTTCCACCTGTGAATGGGGCATCTTACAGGCACAGTCTTCTTAGGGAAGAAAGAGACTTCAGGAGAACAACAAAACTGAAAATCAGTAGGGTCCTGTAGTGATGGTCCTCACTCTGGACTATCATATGCACCTTGGCAGGGCTCTGCCAATGGCCTGCAGTGTGGTCTTGGATGGGTTACCCACCCACTCTGCAAGGGTCACTCACCCAGTCCGTACTGTCTCCATTCTTGACAACCACAGCGTCCCCAAAAGCTCTTGAATTGAAAGTTTGGTCCCCCAGACAATGATGCTTTGGGAGCTGGTGGAACCTTTGGGAGGCAGAGCCTGGTGAAAGGAAGCAAAGTCATTAGGGGCATGATCTTGAAGAAATGCTGGGATCCTGGCCCTCCTGCTTCCATGCCTCCAAGCTATGAGCTGCTTCTTTCCCAACCACCCTCATGATTATTCTCTGACTCTGGACAGGTTCAAAGTCATTATGAGCAACATCTGGAACTGTGAGCCCAAACAAACCTTCCTCTTCTGGCGTGATCTGAGCTACGTGTTACAGTGGTGGAAGATGACTAACACAGATGCCTGCACACCAACTCCTTTCTGCAGGACCTGCAAACCCTCTCCCAAAGTGCCACAAGACAGCAGGGCCTCTTTTCTCCTGTGGACCTCTGTATCCTCTGTCCAGACCCAGGAGGCTTCCCAGTAATGCTGACGGCCTCAAAAATCCTATTCATGAACAGAATCTGAGGTAGATTTTCTTATCCCCACTTAACAAAGGTGTAGAGAGGTGCAGTCACTCACCCAGTGGCACACAGCAGAGGGGGAGGCAGGGACAAGGAAGGGACAGCCGGTGCTAGAGCTGGGGAGCAGCATAGATCTTGGGGCATAGCTAGAGCTGTTTGCACTTAGATGATAAGTTAGTGCTTCACAAGGCTCCAGCCACCTCCCAGGAGGCTCCAGACTGCATGTGTGAGGCCCCCATGATGGTGACCTTGGGGAGGAAGAGAGGGAGAAGCCTCATTTACATAAAAACTTGGTCTTCTCCAATCAGCTGGGCTCTTTGGGATGAGAAAACTAGGGGCTGATCAATCACTATGAGGCTGGAGCAGAGCTGGGCAGAGCACCAGCCCACACTTCTCTCTCCAGGCTACTTTTTCCCCCACCTTGAGCTCTGTCACCTCTCCCAACAGCCCTACACCCAGTAGGATCATCCAGTGGACATGATCATGCCCTTCTGGCAGATGGATTAGTTGAATAAGTGAGACCATAGGACCTGCCCAAGGACCTGCTAACAAGTCTGTAGCAGACCAGGCTGACTCAGGCTCTAACTCCTGTGCTTACTCCTATCCTTGCCTGCCCCTGGCTGTCCTGGCCTGGGGTCCTCACTGAGTGCCCCCACTCTGTGCCTCTTACCACCAATCCCTATATCCCCCAAATGTTTCCACCCAGGGTCTGGCTTAGAGCTGCTGCTGCCCCTCTGCCCTCTCCCCAGACTCCATTGCTAACCTAGAGTTCCGTGGTTTCTAGATAAGGATACACAGGATATCAAGACTAGCAAGGACCCCAAAATACGTTCAGTCTAATACTCTGAAGAGGAGAGGTGAGAACAGCGGTCACTCAGTAGCCACACTGTGCCCCCTACCTCCATCAGAGATACCCCAATGCCCCCACAGTGCTGATTTTCCTCCACCCAAGTCTGTAAATTGAAATTTAGACCTGAATTCACAGAATCCTTTGGAGAATAGTAAATATAGGAAGGAGAGAGCACCCCAAGCTGTCCATCAGCAGATGAATGGATGTATAAACGGAACGGTGGTATATCCACACAGTGGAACGTTGCCCAGTTGTCCCGAGGAACATGGTACATACACAAACATGTATGCACATTATAGTAGGCAATAATGTAATGCAGCATGATGTCCAAGCATGTGTGGAAGTCAAACACCTGACAACATCAACACCAAAGTGGGAGAGGAGAGGTGGACAGGCCCGCCTGAGGTTTCCCAGAGCTATGGGAAATGGAGTAGACTCCGTTAATTATGTGTTCCATAAAGCCCAAGGCTACACAAAATACAAAGAATATCAGCTAACAAGCCAACACAGAAGACAAAGTGGAATCATAAATAATACCCAGTTCTACAGAAGGCAGAGAAAGGGGGAAGGGACAAAGGAACAGATGAGACGGTAGAGAAATAGCACAGGGCAGAATTAAAGCTCGCAAGTTGGCTCCTCTTTTTCCTCTTTCCACAGAGGTGAACCAAGGCATAGAGACAGAAGGAGAGAGTCCAGAGTCACAGAGCAGGTAAGATATGGGGCCAGGCTCCATCCATGGCGCTTGGACTCCTAACCTCACAGGAAGTCTGGCCCTGGTTCGAGGGCCTGGAAATTGTGTTTCCCATTCCGTGTGGTTCAGGGCTAGTCAGGACTGCAGGTGTGACCTGTTCAACATCTTCATCGTACATCTGAGGAAACTGTGGCCCTGAGACACAGGGTGCTGTCCCCTGGCACCCCCTGAAGCAGAAACACCCCTGGGCTCCTCTTGTCTCTGCTCCAGCTGCCCCAGGTTGGCTCCTGCCTCCCAGGCTGCCACGGCAGCACCTGGCCTGGGTTTCCCTCATGTCCTGGCAGCTGTGGATCACATGTGCTCATCATTGCATTTTAATCATCCTGTAACTGCTCCCAGGTGTCTTCCCAGAGACATTTGTTTGGATTTTTTCCCTCTCTATAATTAAACTTAGTCATCCATCTCTCATAATCAGAACCCACCAGCCTCAAATTCCTGGTGCCTTTAGGCTTCTCAAGAGGCTCCTGGCCCATTGCTGGGAGATGGAAAGTCCATGAGGAGCGGCTAGTGCAGCTTGGGGAAACTGAGGCTCAAGGGCAGGGGACTTTCTCAAGGCCACACCACAGGCAAGGAGCTCTGGCAGAACCTGCCCTGGTCTCTGGGCTCCCTGCCTTTCCACACAGCCTGTCTGTACCCACAGAATTCTAAATATGACTTGTGGACCCACTTTTTAGGTGTGGTTGTGATGTGAAGGTCATTTTGTTTCTACCTGAGCATGAAACCATCTGATTTCCTTGTGAAATAGCTTCACAAAATAAATTAATCACCTTTTGTGAAGCATTCGATTAATACCAAAATGTAAAGAAGCAAAAATATCCTTAAAAGCCTTTTGAAGCAAACGATAGATTTTTGGGGAATATTCTCCTAACCATCTGTGTTAGTCAGCTCTCCATAGCTGTGACAAAATACCTGAGATAAACAACTTATGAACAGGAAAGGCTTAACTTGAATTTGTTTCAGAGGTTTCAGTGCCTAGTCAATTTGGGCCTTGTGCCTTTGAGTGCATGGTGGTGCATTACCGCATGGTGGGAGTGTTCACCTCATGACAGCCAGAAAGCAAAGAGAGAGGCAGGAAGTGCACTCCCAGGCCATGCTCCCAGTTACCTCATATTCTTCTACCAGGCCCCACCACCTAATGGTTCCACTAAGTCAGTGTCACAGGACGCGAACTCAGCCTTTAACACGTGCGCCCTTGGACACCATCCAGGATCCCAGTGTAGCACTGTCTTGAGCAGGCTCTTTTCACTCCCCAGCCCCGCCTGTCAGCTCTCCCTGTAGACTGGCCTGCAGGGGCAGCATCTGGGCTTCTTCTCTTGGCAGCTGGCTTCAACTAGGTTCCTCCAGTGGGAGGTGCTGACTTGGGACTGGGGGACTTCTTCCTGCTCCCTCCTAGATTCAAATGTGGATTTTGCAGCTCTTACGCCCACAGATCCAAAGATAGAAATCAGTCTACTCGGGCTGGGGATTTAGCTCAGCGGCATAAGCACCTGCCTTGCAAGCTTGTGGTTGTGAGTTCGATCCCCGGTACCGATTAAAAAAAAAAAAAAGAAAGAAAGAAATCAGTTCACTCCTGAGAAAGGCACCCACAAGAAGCCTGGCAAACCTGCCTTCCTGATAGTCCCCCTTCCAGCCTGCAGCCCTGCTGGCCTGCCGCTTTCTCTCTCGTGCCCCACTCCCTAGACCTCGTAGCCAGCTCTAGGAGGAGATGCTGCTGTCATCTCCCTGATTCCCTGTCATCCTCACCTACACCCCCCTTGGGGTTTGATACCTGTGCTAGATCTCCCAGAACATCTCATGCAAAGGGCAGGGGTTCATGGTCTCTTTCATCCTAGCCCCTTCTCCTCCTGCCGATACCCCCTTCCCTTATGTGATGTTTGCAGAGCACGCTCCACAGCACCCTTAATGTAAATACATATGAGTAGGGATCCTGTCTCTCCTGGTCATATTTGTCCCCCTGGTTCCTAGAACTGTGTCTCTAGATGTTTTACAGGAGGAGCTTCATAAATAACTGCGCTACAAATGACGCAATATTAAAGAGTCCCCAGTCTGGAGCAGGAAGTTAAAGGAGGATGACATCGGCTGGAGCAAGGTTGGTTACAGGGGTGATCTGAGGATACAGGGATCCTAGGCAGGACAAGGGTGGGGAGGAGGAGGAGGAGAACCTGGTCACTCACCCACCTGTCCTCTCATCACATGTCTCCTGAGCACCTCTGGGCCCCAGGATCTGACATGGGAACAAATGCTGAGTGCACCACATCCTGTACCTGCCTTGGACATCTCTTGGCTGGATGACAGACACCCCCAGGCACCTGCAATCAGAGTGACAAACCCCAGGGGGCCAGTGCTGCTGGGGAAAATGCCAGCATTTATGGAACTACTAGCCTCCCTCTTTGGATACAGTAACTTGAGTTGGATCTTCCACACTTTGAACCTAAATAGTCATGCTGTTAACCAGCAAGGGAGTTTAGTAGCTTCTAGGACTGTAAATGATTCTAGAGACCTGCTTCAGGCCCAGCAGGATTCAGGGCCTCCAATTATATCACTGGGTATCTCATTCTCTTTATCTCAGCAACTCTTTACTTTTGTTTCTGGCAGTGTAGGAGTATCTTTCTTCTGGCACTGGATTTATTCAGAAGGCAGGAAAGGGAAAGGTCAAGGGGAAACATAACAATCAGCAGGTCCAAGCTCACATCATCCCTTCTAGTGACTGCAGAGGGAAATGAGAACTGTTCTCTATAATAGCTATATATAAAGTCCCAAGCAAGGATTCTGATAGGTCTAATTTTAATCATGTGCTTCACTTGGGCCAATCACATTTCCTGGGGAAATGCAGTGCTGTGATTGGTTCAGTCTAAGCAGGCACCTGTCTCCAAAGAGAGGAGAGGACAGAATCACTAATAAGCTGCGTGGAATGTCAGGGCTCATTCAGTAGTGCAAGGAGGGTGATGGGAGTGCCAGGTACTGAGAACAGGGCAGGGTTGCTGGATGATCCAAAATCGCACAAGTGCCCATGCTCTAGATCATTGGTGGTGAACCTATGGCATGCAGTAGGAAGTTTGTATCATTGAAAGCTCTAAAATATTCACTGTCACTGCTCTAGATATTATTGGTCTTTATTATAAACAAAGTAACAGAGTCTCAGGAAAATTAGGTGAACGATATTAATTAGCAGGTGGCCTGGGAATCCTCTGCTGGACATGCTCTCAGCCACTAACTGAACCCAAGGGCTTCTTCAGGATTTTCAATCCCTATCAGACCTAAATTGCAACAGGTCTAAGTTCATAATTCCAGTACAAATAAGAAGAGTCTGCAAGCTCAGGCCCTCAGGCCCTCGCAGAGCCTGAGCTTACAAACCTAATCTTCATGATGGATTGCATTTAAGGCTCCCTTTCTTTGTAGACTGCAATGTGCAGGAAATGCTGCTCTTGGCAATTTCTTGTCCATTATGCAGTGCTGAGAGTGAACGCTTCAAAGGGAATAGAGGCCAAGATGCTACTGCTGATGGCGCCATCAGCCTGGAGACACAGAGAACATTAAGGGGGCCAAGGTGTACACTATTTGACATGTGAGCGTGTCCTCTAGTTAAGTGTGCAGTCCTGAACTCTGAGAGGTGGCCGGAGTCTCCTACAAGCCTTCGCTCCTGCTGGCTCTTTTTTCAGCAATCTGAGAGCCTCCCTCCATCCCTCCTGTCAGTCCCAGCCTGTCTGTTTCATTTAAGGATGGCTCAACCACACTGTTCATCAGGGCTAGTGGGACTCTGGCAGCCTCTAGTCCACCTCCATTCATTTTGCAGATAAGAAAGCACAGTCCATAGAGGCCTAAACACTTGTTCAAGGTCAGAAGTGGAATGGAGTGAGGCAGAAACTGACTACACCAGCTACTAAAGGGTGAGTGCACCTTGATGCCAGGCTCTTGCATGTGTCCTTTCCCACACTACTGAACCTTTACCGTAGTCCTGTGGGTGATGCAATGATTGCCACATTGTCCTTGTGTAAAACAAGGCTCTGAGAGAGTAGAAGACATGCTCAAGGGCACAGAGCAGTCTCAGGCTGTTCTGCTTTAGCTCCAAGGTCCACGCGCCTGTGCAGGTCACTTGCCCACCACTGTCTGCCCTCTGCTCAGCATCTGTGCTGTGCACTGCTGAGTCCTGGCCAGCTGGATTTCCTACCCTCCCTCACCTGCAGCTTCTACTCCACAAGGGGACATGACGGGTCCCGGTGGGAAACAGCAGAGCAGGCCTGGGGAGAACCGAGTTGATTCCCAGCTCTGCTTATGGAGATTCAGGCTGCACCGCATAGCCACCTGCTCCATAGCCCTTGGGTGGCTTTGGCAGGGCAGTAGTGCACTTGATGACTGTACCTGCAGCAGAGGCAGCAGTTTGGCTTGGAGGCAGCAAGAAGGCAGTGCTGACCTGTCACAGAGAGCAAGTCCTCCAGCCTCAGGGCCTTTTCTCTTTCCTTTTCTGCTCTTCCAACCCTATCAAGAATTGCTTTCTGGACTTGCCTGCTCTGTTTGCAATTCTCAGCGCAGTTATAGCTGCTTCTCACTGAGGGATGAGTAACATAGCTCTTAGAGCCAACACTTGGTGATGCAACTTGGAGGTGGACCACCTGACATGATTAGGCTGGAACCTGGCAAGGACTTGGCTTGTGTGGCCAGGGAGAATGGCATTGGGATACTCTGCGTCAGGCAGGAGCATTAAATCACGGGAGTCATCACTTGTGCTCACCTGGAACAAAGAGCCTGTTGAGCAGGGGCTTTGCTGGCCAAGTGGCTGCTGTACTTGGCATCTGTGCCAGTAATGAGGGCCATTATAAGGGACAAGGAGTGCAACAGTGACTTAGAACAGCTTAGGAGGGTTTGTAGAAAGACAACAAGGAGTGCATTTAAATGTTGTGCTCCAAACCCAGACACATCACCAGAGATCTGATTGCCCTGCAGGAAGCATTAGTGTTCTGTAGCCATAGGCAGCCACAAGTGAATACCAGAGCTAAATTGTCTTCCTGGGAGTTGCGGGATTGTAATGTAAATCGTACCTTCCTGCTTTTCCTTGAACGTGAAGGCCTTGATTGGAAGCAAGGAGCACAGAATGTGGTGTATTCCCATGAGTGCATTCCAGTCCTCCTTCCAAAGAAACTGAGAGCTCAGTGGATCCTGAGCCAGTAAAGTCCTGGCAGCAGTTGCAATCTTGTGGTCAGGCTGAACACTGGGCCTGTGACCAGTCTGTCCAGTTAAACCTGACTCTTTGTGCAGGAACAGAAACCTGGGTGCTGGTGGCAGCCGCAGCAGGAGATGCATGGGCCAAGTGCAGAGCCATATCTTCTTCCCTAGATAACTAGTCTCCATTTTATAACTAGCTCTGGGCTCTGTCTGGGCCCTGGTGCAGATGGCATGCGTGATGTTGTACACCAAGTGACCATGTAGCTCAGATGGCCCATCCTGGCCTGGGAGTGAGCCAATCTGGGCCAATAAGTTATTGAGTCATTAGGAGCCAGTGTTACGGCTTGAGTGAAGGTCAGTACATTGCATGATCTGGTGACAAGAATTTTACAGCATCATCTAGCTGCTCTACGTTTTCTCTCAGCCCACACCACTGGTCTTGTACGGCATTGTCTGTCGCCAGCTATGTTAATTTCCTGTGGCTGCTGGACCAAATGATTGTGAACTTGGCTTAAAACCAGAGAAGTCTGTTCTCCCATAGTTTAGAAAGCCAGAAGTCTGGAATCAAGGTGTCAAACATAGCCAGGCTCTCATGGAAGACTCTAGGAAACAGACTTCCTTTCCCTTCCAGCTGCTGGTGGTGCCTATCATTTCTTGGCTTATGGCTACATCACTGCAGTCTCTGCTACTGTCTTTGTATGACCTCCTCTGCCCTGTCTCCTTGTGTCTTCTCCCTTTTTGGCACTTATGAAGACAATAGATTGGATTTAAGGCCCACTTTGACTCCAGATGATCTCATCTTGAGATCTTTACCTTAATCACATCTTATTCCAAATAAGCGCGTGCTCTAGTGTCTGGGTAGACACATCTTTGGAAGGAAGGAGAGGAACACTTAGCTCCTGAACCAGATGACCTGCTAGTCCAGCCACCAAGAACTCCTGCAAGTAGAGAGGCTGGCCCTGAAGATTGGAAGTGGGCAGCCTTCAAGCAGCACATCTCAGTCCCCTGGGCTGGGATGGGAAATAGCCAGAGGCAGAGATTCATGGGCAGTGGTGAAACGATCAGAGACTTGGAAGGAAACAGATAGGAATTCTGATAAGAATGCTTGGAGAAGACTGTGGATCTCTGAAAAAGCAGATAGTGAGGAGCTGTGAGGGACCCATATAGATGCCACCAGAGGACACTCAGTGAAAAGCAGGGGTCCCTTTGGGTCCCTGCTATAGGCAGAGCCTGTTGCTGTGACTTGCTGGGTCTGCCAGGAGAGGCAGGGTTGATCCCAGCAGCAGAGTCTCGGTCATTATCAGCAGTGAGTATTCCTGGGACCTGTTCATACCCTTCCAGGCCTCCAGCCCAGGTAACCTTCTGCAGTCACTAACCTCTGGGTCTTCTCTACTTCCTTTGCAACTTGTAGCCTCCCCAAACACTTTTGTGATGGTTTCATTGAACTAGATCCCTTGTGTTGAAAGGATCCAGTGTGATTTCTGCAGGACTGATCTTGGCCACACCTTCAGGGGCAGAAGCCACTATTTTGCCATGGACAGCTGTCCTTGTCTTTGTCCTTGTCCTCAGCTCTCCTATAGGTACTGTGGCTCGGCCAACCCCACCTGAGGGAAGACTAGGCACCCCAGAGCTTGGCAGACACGGCATACTCAGAGTTAAAATGTTGGTGTCCTGGGATAGGATGGGAGGACCAACGGGGTCACCACACACCATCCAATGCCCGTCCAGACGTGGGACCAAATCCCCAGGTTCATCTCACCTCAGTACTGTTTGACAGGTGCCTCCAGACTCTCCCGATTCTCAGCCTAAAGGAGAAAGAGCAGCACAGAGAGATGAGGAAACGAGCGAGCCTTTCAAGGTCATGGCCAGGCCGCGCCAGGGCTCAGAGAACCCCTGTACACTCTGCCTCCCCGCCCCTGCCAGCCCTCACACTGGCACAGAAGTGGCTCGGCAGCATCTCGCACTGTGATTGCGTGTGGATCTCATTCATGGTATGATGTCTGGCTTTTATTTAGATGACTAATGAGGGGAAGTGAAACTGCCGTCCACACAGGAAGCCAGCAGCTCCTGGGTGAGGGCCCCTCCCCCTCCAGTGCCTGCCCAAGTCCCTGGCAGCTCTCAGCTCAATGCAGGGCAATTACATTTTATGCAGCTTTCTTTCTTCATCCTTCAATAAATATTGCCTATGAAAATCAATTGACATTTTCTGTACTCAGTGCATAATAACCGATCTTATAAATTTAAATTATCCCTATAAATCTAAATTAAATGCCCAGGTTTCGGTATATTTAGGACACTTAATTAATAAAATGCTAGTACATAAACACTATACTAATCTGCTTACTTCTCACCAACTTTCACTTTGAAAGGATGTGTTTTCCTTCAGTGTCTGGAGGAGGGAAGAGGGAATGAAGGATCCTGTGCAGTTTTCTGGCTTCCACGGGCACTGCCTGCCTCCACAGCATCCTCCAGGACTACCTGTGTCTCCATGTCTAGCTCCTGTGTTCTGCTCCCTGCTGGACCTGGCTGTGGGTGCTTAAGAAGAAAGTGGCCAGAACGGCCAGGTTGGTGGGAATCAAAAAGTCTGGCTCCTCTATGTGACTTTGCACAAGTTGCTCGTGCTCTCTGGGCCTCTCCTTTCCCTTCTGTTTAGTGAGGTAGAGACAAGGTCATCACAGAGTGTCATTGTATCCACTGTGGGGAAGAGGTGGCAGAGAGCAGGGAGAATAGCCCACAACTTATCTGCAGTGCAACCTTGGAGAAGTGACTTAGATTCTTCTGCCTCAGTTTCCTCCCCTATAGGACAGAACCTGCTCACAAGGATGTGATGAGCCTGAGAGGAAGTCATGCATGTAACATGGTCCAGGCATGATGGGGTAAGTGCCCTGAAAATGTCAGCATAGTCACTCTCCCCAGCTTGTAACTTTCAGACAGTTTTACAAATAGCCATCAAAACCATGCTAGACAGATTTGGAGAAAATAATGTGGTCACTGCAGTGCATAAGACTGAATGTGTGGCTCTCACCCCTCCCTTTAAGTTCAGGAACATTTGCCCAGATTGTACTGCTCAACGTCCAGAGCGCTGGCTTCCAATTCCTCTGAGCATCTTGGAGGAGGAGAAGCATGGTTTGGAGTTAACTGTGCACAGAAAGTTGGGAGGTCACACCTTGAGCCTGACCCCACAGTTCACTGAAGAATCAGGAGACTCAGAGTGCCAAGGGGACACAGGGCTGGGCATTAGCACTTACCACGTCAGGGAGGTGACCAGGCTTGGACCCTCTTCCCAAGTGGTCTGTGTCCAGGAGACCTGCGCAGGATCTTCTCCACCAGAGCAGGGTAGGAGCTGAGGGTGTGACCCTCTTGCAGACACTGTCAGTCATGGATCCACAGGTGGATCCTGTATCAGGAGCGCCCTGAGCAGCCCCACCTCCAGGGTGTCATGTAGGCGTCCTGTACCCTCATTCACATGATATACTGGACAACCCACCAGATACAAGCGAGACACTCTAAGCTCTTTCGAGCAGCCAACTAGGTGTCTCAGCAATTTTTCTGTTTCTTCTTCAGGGCCCAGGCCACCTGGGGTGCTCATTAATCTTGGTTGTCAATTTGACTAGAGAGGTGACCAGATGGTGGGAGTACTGCCATCATCAACGGGTTAACTCACTCTGTACCAATGGTTTCAGCCATTGGCTGTGGCTTCCGATGATTTTTCACTTCTTTTATATTTGTTACTTTTTTTTAATGAGCCAAGACAAAGGTTGCTTTGGTGGATGCAACTTGTGCACATAAAAATAATGCATTTTCTGCTGTCATCAGGTAAAGCGTTTTTCTAATGACAATTAGGTCAAGAGAGTTGTATTGTTGAAGTCTGTCTTCACTGATTGTGCTCACTTATTTTATCAGTTACAGAAGAAGGAGGTTTATCCCTTGATGAGCTCATAGCTGATTGGGCTGTTAGAGGAGGTGGGATGTAGTTGGAGGAGGTAGTCATGGGGTCACGACCTAGGGACTGTATCTGGTCCCTACCCCCTTTTTCTTGGGATTTTCTCCTGCTGTCTGCTTCCTGGATACCCTGAGGTGGGCCTCCTACCTGAGGTCATGCCTTTCCCCCATGATGCTCCTGCCTCGGAGACAGTTGACCATGGGCCAAATCCCTGGAAGCCACAAGCCAAACTAAACATCTTCTCTTTTAAATTGCAAGTGTCAGATATTTTTTCCCAGAAACAGGAACCTGACCAATACACCTAGGGATGGACTACACTGATCATCAGTCTCCAGCTCCCTCCTGCCCCTCCTCACTCCAGATTGCCAGTCACCTGTCATCTCTCTCTGGTGCCCTCCCAATGAGGGCACCTTCCCCCTTAATCCAGGGAACCACGGTGCCAGCTCAGATGGACACAGATGCCCCCCCCCACCTCGCTGTCCCTTCCCAGCCACCATATCCACCCTCACCTCTGTGATCTTTGTAAGTGCACCTCCTACGGAGACTTCCAAGGCCTGCTGCCCTCGGGGGTTTCCCACTGTGCTCATGGTCAAGGTCACCTCTAGGTGGTTCCTGAACTCCCTTAGGGTCACCTCTACGTGGCTCGTGTGGTCCCCTAGGAGCCAACCCCCACTGTCTCCTCCATCATCTCTATCCTTGACCATCCTGTCCTCCAGAACCTGCTGGGCCATGGGAATCCCCCTGCTGACATGTCTCCCTGGCTCACTCACTGGCTCCTGGGCCTTTGCCGAAGCTCCTCCCTGAGCCCTGAGCGTCTTTCCTCTCTCTGCTCCTACAGCTCTCTCCACCTCATCCTAGATCTGACTGCCCCAAATGCCCAGTGCATCTCTCCATTGTGTCCTCCATCTGACTGGGGCAGAGGAGCCGCACTTCTTCAGTGGCCCCATGGCCTGTTTCAGGACCTATCAGGGTCTTCAGGGTACACTGATGGAAGGAGAAGAGCATCAGGGCATAGAGCATGAATGGAAGCCTACACCGTTTGTCCCTCCTCACCCACCATCCATGTGCTCTCTTCCCCGCTCCCTCGCTCTTCAGGAGAACAGGCACATATTACCTGGAGCAGTTCCCACGGTCTGAATGATCTCATCTCTCTTGGCCACTGATTGGTCCAGAACCAGGAACGGCTGTGGCTGAAATAATACCCTGCTTCTTTGCCTTCCGAAATACCCAGATGAAATACCAAGAGCTATGGCAGCCTTCTCATCACCATGAAGTAATAAGCACAAAAGCAGAGCCGTCTCTACCACCAGTGCAAAAGCAGAAAGGAAACGCCTGTACCTGATGGCATCATGGGCATCCATCGCAGCAGCTGAGCTTTGGTCTTCGATGGAGAAAAAATAAACTGATGTTTGTTGAATCTGCGTTTAGCCATTCTCTGTCACTTGTAGTCAGATGCAGTTTAATACATTCAAACAGGTTCCTGTTTTGTCACTGGCAAGCTAGGTGACCTTGGGCAAATCACATAACTTATGAACCACAGTTTCTTTTTCTATTAAGTGGAGTTGATGGATCCAGTCTCACGGGGATATCCGGGATGATGTTTGTCTCGTTTGGTGCAGAACCAATGCAACCCTGACAATTCCTAACATTTACCAAGAGCTTACCATGTGTCAGGAATTGATTAGAGTACTCGCCATGCAGCGTCTACCTTAATTCCCACCACAACACTGTGAGATAAATGTTGGTTTCCAGTTCAGCAGATGAGATAGCTGAGCATAGAGAGAGAGGTTAAGTCACTCGCCCTAGGACACACAGCCAGCAGGTGGAAGGCATGTTAGAGAGCCAGGCAGTCAGATTCTAGCAGGCACCTGCCTCACCCTGTGCTATGGGCACAGCACTACCCTGGTGCATAGTAGGTGCTCGGTGAGCAGAGCCAAGTGATAAATGGGGAGGCTATAGGTCCATATCTCTGCACATCTCCAGGTTTCTAGAAAAGACTGAATCAGGGTTCCATGCTTGGCTCCAGCCCATCAAGGTCACGCTTCTGTCAGGGCTCCTGTCTCCTTGGTACAAGATTGGACTCCATTCACTGCCCCCCTAATTGAAATACTATATTTTCTCTTGTGTTAGCCATTATTACTTATTGATCTTTGAAGACTTGCTTACATTATGGCTGTTTTTATTTGTCTTAAGTAATAGATACTATTGGTGGGAGAATCAGGGTGTAAAATCCCATGACTGCAGCCAGAGAATCTCATCCATATTGTGGATCATTACCTTGCTAGGAGTGCAGAAGACTAGACTTGTCTATCCCTCTGGCCATAATTAGTGGGCATGGTAGGGAGGACCACAGGGTGGCCACAGGGATTTCTCCCCTTTCTGGGGCTGGCAGGGCACCTTGGCTTGGGAGCAGGCACCATGTGAAGGTCCTGAATCTGTGCCTGGAGAGCAGAGGCAGCAGCTCCGGTATGAATGCAGGGCCGTGTGTGCGTACAGGTGGAGGGAAGGGCTGGCTGGCTTGTCTCAGGAAGGACAAGGCACAGGGACAGCAGGAGGTGTCCCAGGCACGCAGACAGAAGGTCCTGGCGTGCTGCCTATTCCTGTGACTATCTTCTCTGTCTCTCAGCAGGACACTGCCCCTGCGTTCCAGTGTGTGCTCCTAAGCACTGTGCTATACTACCCTGGTGCGCGGCAGCTGTTATGTAAATAGTATTAGAGTTGATGAAGGAACTTCTGGCCTGTGCTTCTCGGGACATGTGTGCCAAAGTGCTGCGGGACAACTCTGGGCCAATCATTTAGTTGGTGTATTAAACCTTCTGCAGACTGATTTTACGAGAACCAGTCACCCAAGAGCTGGACCTCTAACAGTGGTGTTCACTGGATCGTCTTGACTCTAGAGAAGAATTCTTAAATCCCAAGGGTGTGGATCTGGCAGAGTGGGAGTGGCAGGAGAGGCCAGTGGACAGGAGGTGGTGCAGGCTGAGACCAGCTGAGGAGTATGGGGTGCAAGAGTTCCTGCAGGTCCCCAGCTCCAGGGCTGGGTTGTGTGTGGGCTACAGTGAGACCCTGGCGCATGCCCAGCCTCAACCCTTGGTGAGGAGTGCAGGGAGCACCAGCTCAAGTCCCTGCAAGTCAGCTGGGCTCCTCATTCCTTTCCCTCCCTTTTTTCTCTGATAGCAACCACAATCACCACAGTTGTGGGTGAGGGAGAAGCTTGGGCCAGGGATGAGAAGACGTGAGCCATGACCTGACCCCAGCAGCCCGGGACAGTGACCTCTGCTGGGGCCTCGGTGTCCTTGTCTCTGGGATGGGACTTTGGGGCCCACGGGCTGAGGGTCCTTCCAGTGCTAGCAGCAGGGCCAAGGCTGGCCTGGTTATCTCTGAGGGCTCCTTTTATGGACACCTGCTGGGTTCTCTTTTCATGTCCTGCCTTCCTCCCAGAACCCCCTCTGGAGCATTTCCATGACTCTGTTTTCCAAAAAGAATGACCCAAGACTTGGAGTGTCACTAGGTGGCAAGGTGTTTAAACCGACCGTGTCGTTCTGGAGCTCCAGCTTCAGCCACCCCTCCACTCACCACCGGTGAAGCTCTGGGCAAATGGTTTCACCTCTCTTTGCCTCAGTCTCCCCATTTGTCAAGCAGGGGTAGCCTTTTCCTTGAATGGGTGACATGCAGGTGAGACGGGTTAGCCAGGTGAGGAACTGGACTATGCACTGGGCAACAAGAACTCTCAATAAATGCTCGCTGTGCCCAGGTTCCCTGGAAGCCCTGCTGAGCGCGGAATCTCCTTTATTAAACTTCTGCAACCAGAGTCCAGCCCTGGCTCCATCTCTCAATCCTGCATGGATTTGTGCTTACAAAGCAAAACAAACCTCAGGCACCTGTGTCTATTAAAGTCTCTGATCTCAATGAGTGTGGGGAGGGGACCACAGTGGACCCGCAGAGTCCCGTTTAATGCACTGTCAGTGCTGGCACCGACTCCCAATCGCCTGCCTCTGGCGCAGTGTGAGACCCGTTCACTCTCCTCCTTTTTACACTTGTTCATTCCACAAATGCCTGTTTACTGAGCACCTGCTGCATGCTGCACATGCAGTGGTGAGCAAGCTTCCACCCCAGCTTGTCCTTGCTTTCCCAGAGCAGGTGACAGTCTGGGGGAGGCAGAGCCACCAACACCTAGTTGTCACCAAATGCTGTGAGATTGGACTGGGACACATTCTGTGACAGACATGGGATCTGTGTGTGTGTGTGTGTGTGTGTGCGGCATGTGAATGTGCATGTGAGGTGTGTCTCCATCCAGATGCCTCTGTGTTCATGTGTGTGTGTTCACGTGTGTGTCTGTATGTCTGTGTGTCCTATACCTGTGTGCACACGTCTATGTGTGCTAATTATGCAAGTGTGTATGTGGGTATTTTTATGTCACAACTTTGCTGGGTTAAGGGATTCCCAGATGGCCAGTGGAGAAGGATTTCTGGGTATCTGACAGGTGCCTTGGAGGACAGAAGCACTGGAGTCAGTGGGTTGAGCATAAGAATCCACCCTTACCAAAGTGGTGACCTCATCCAATTCAAAGAGCCAAAAAGAGCCAAAAGATGGGGAAGGTGAGCTGTCTCTTTTTTTCTCTCTCTCTTGCTGGGACATCTGTCTCCTGCCCTCAGGTGTCTGTGATCTTGGTTTCAGGGCTTTGCACTCTGAGACTTACACTTTTGGGCCTGATCTTCTCTGTGTGTCCTGTTGGCTCTGTTGCTGTGCAGGGAAATGTGTGTATGCATGCAAGTGGTGAGTGTGCATGCATGTGCTTGTGTGTGCATGCACGAGGGTGTGTGTGGTTTGATAAGAAAAGCATTCTCTCCACAAGTCCCCTCCTGTAACACACAGCCTTGGCTGACTGACTGGAACACGGAGGCTCCTTGCTGACTGACTGGAACACGCAGGCTCCTTGCTGACTGACTCTGGAACACGGAGGCTCCTTGCTGACTCACCCTCCTTTGCCCCTCCCCTTGCCCTCCCTCTCTGCCCTGCAAGGGAATCTGGCCAGGCCCTGAGGGTCACCTGTGCTCTGGATATTGTGAAACCTGGACATCCCTGCTGCTACCCAGTAAGAGGGTGGCTTTCAGGAAGCACTTGCCTAAGCACAAAGATCCTGGAAGACACAAGTGAGCTCATGGCCCCTTTCTTTATTTCTTCATTGTATGCATTTGCTTCAGAGGCCTAGTAACCCCAGGACATCTTCTTGCCAGTGTCAGTGTGACAGCCTGTCTGTGAGCTGATTCTCACTCACGCTTCCGAATTGCTCATATCATCCTCTCCTTGTCCCACCCAAGTGCTCCACTAGGATGTGGCATGGCCTTCCTGGTTTGCTGTATTTCATGGGACCTGAAATACAGCAGATGCCTCATAAATGTCTCAGACCCTCTGAGGTCAAGTCTGTA